AATTTTTTACATACAAACTTCTTTCTTTGTGCAAATTAAACTTAAGACTACATACTTTAATGCTGTATGTATAAAAAAAATTATTTTTTTAGTATTAAAATGAAGTTTAATCGAAACATTCAATCAATTTTTCTTAATTTCATGACTTCTGTATTCAACATATTTTCAAAACTATTGCTTACCATGTTACCAGCTGCATAAATACTTGAAACTTTGAAAATAATCTTTTTTTAATATAACAATTAATGTCCGATGGCCCATTGACTTGAAAAAATATTCTATACACATGAAATTGACTGTGGGCGGGGGTACCCGCTGGGCGGTGCTACCCGACTCTCCCCTAAGTATTTTAAGTATGCATCTTGCTCTAAATGCTGACTACGTTTTGGTTGAAATATCGTAGAGGAAATGCAAGAGTAGGAAAACTGCTTTTTCTATTAATAAAAAAACTAAAGAAAATAAATTAGTTTCTAATAATTGCACGAAATTTCATGTGATAAGAAGACATTTGAAATATATTTTTTTTAGAAAAACTTCAGATTTCTCAAGAGAAGGATCAAACAAGAGAAATCAGAAAATTTCAAACTAGATAAATATTGCATGTTTTATATTTAAGAATTACATTCCATACTTAGAGTTAGTTTAATGAAGCTAGTTAAAAAGCTCGTCAATATGCTTTTTTTTGGAAGTCTTTTTGTTTCAATTTTATAAATTTTTTTATAATTTTAAAGAATATTTCCAATTGCTTTTACATAATTTTTAATAGAAATCTCTTGAGTTTGGTTTTAAGGTCAGTACATAATGATTAACGTAACTTTTACATATTTTTTGACGTTTTTATTTATTAAAATATAAATAAATAAGAATAATTTTGTTCTATTGTTGATTATTTTTGATGCAAACAGTAATTATTATGTGCCCAACGGAAACAAAAATTTGCTGTTCCTTAGCAATTATTACTAATTAAATACAATAATTATTACTAATATTGTACAATACATTACAATAATCATTACAATACATTACAATAATTACAGTACAATAATTATTACAATACAATAATTACACATACAATAATTATTACTAATTAAATATTGCATTGATATAATATAATTGTAGTAACTTTGTTAAAAAAATGATTATTAATCAAATAGTGCCAATTTATTTTTAGAAGGCATAAATAACAAACATAAATTAACAAACATAAATAACAAACATAAATTACTGTTGAAAATCGTATCATAGTTTTGGATTTCAATACCGAAATTACTTTATATATCTAATAAGTAATTTGAAAGATTTGTATCTCTTCATTAGAAACTAATATACCCCTGATAAACCAGACTATTACATAAAATTGTCACGGAGTATTCGTAACCTATAATCTGCATATTATATACCTGCAAGCGATATTACGCGTGTATTTTGAACCTGATTGTCTGCCAAATCATGGCATAAACAAATGCAACGATTAAACCAAGCTTGACATTGCTTGAAGGTATCCAATTGATGAGGTTTGCATTGTGTCATAGTACACCTAAACTAATAAAAAGTTAGAGTTTCATAGTTTCTTATGAGATCAATATTTCCTACATGATTAACGTCCATTATTATCGAGATCAATATTCCTACATGATAACGTCAAAAATTGTATATATTTCCTTTAATACTTTAAACCATTATCAAAATTTTTTTCGAATTATTACTTAAGTTTCTATATAATTTTCTCTAATAAAATTTACGTCAGATTAGCATGCATTGTTAAATTTACAATTAAAGTATTTATGAACAACACCCTAAATCAATGTATGAGTTTATTACGTGTAACTGACGTAAGTATGTGTAATTTTCTCTAATGAAATTTATATCAGATAAAAATCCATTAATAAATTTATTATGTAAATTATTTATGAACAACATCAATATATGAGTTTCTCATCTGCAACTGATGTGGCATATTTGTAATTTTATCTAATGAAATTTATTTCAAAAATATAAATGAGGGTCTTTCAAATGGCTTGA